TTGCGTCTATAGGGATTTTTATTACAAGCCTAAAAATTATGTAAACGTGGCAGGGGATACTCAAAAAACAACCTGTTCATATATATATAGTAGATAAACTATGAATTATTAAAAACTTATTAAAACTTTAAAATAGAAATAAATGCATAATTAAGTTTTAATCGTGATCTTTATTTTTAGCCTTTCATGCACTGTAGTCTGATTCATAAACAGAAAAGAAAAGAAGAACAAAGAGCCAAAACTAAGTAGAAACAGAAACAAAAGGAAAAAAAGAAGTGTGAATAGGAGGCGAGAGCAAGTACAGTAAGTAGGTAGGATGCTTGTCTTGCACATGACTCATCCAGGTTCAAGCTCCAGCATCCCACATAGTTCCTCAAACCCTACCAGGAGTTATTTCTGAACACAAATTCATTTCTGAGCACCGAGCACAAAGCTACACCTTTGGGTGTGGCTTAAAACTCCAGGTCCCCCTAGAAGTGCAAGTAGATACATACATTTCAACATACATATAGTGGAACAGGAAGTAGTTGCTGGGAGTCTGTTTATGCCAATTCCTTCCATCAGAGATAGTAAAGAGGTATATTCACAGAGGAGGAGGAGTGGGGAATCAGTAAACAAGAAAAGTAACTATTAAAAGGCAATTTGAAATTCATTGTACCTAAAAAGATATAAGCCTAATTAAATAACTAAACTTCTACACTAAAAAAAGTATTGCATGTTAAGGTACTAAAAGTATGTATTCAGTATAATATTTTGGTAAATAAAAATGATATTATCATTTTTTAGTAGGCATAGAGAATAGAAGGTTTTCTTTGACACACTCAAAAATTGTAAATTGCATTTTAAATAATGTGATTATCCACATTTAGAAATGGAGTTACAGCTAGGCATGAACAGGTTCCAATTTTAAATCAGCAATCACAATAAGATAATTTTTCTTTGTAGTTATTATATTATCAGCATAAACACATACAAAAAATATTATAAATTAACCCATTACTATAATGTTACATGTTACATATTATTAATTTTAGATTCTCAATATCCCAGAAAAGTGGAGTCTCCAAATCATGTTTATTAGACCACAACCTGAAACTTGAATCATAAAAATGTTTGTAATTTTAAACATACCCAACTGTCATTAAGGTAGTTAATGAACTCTTGATGTAAAGAGTATTGATTCATTATCAAAGTGACTATACTTAGAAAATATGACTGAATTATTTATGCAGCCTCTATATTTTATTTTTATGTAAGATATAATATGAAAATAATGACATTTTTTGCTACATGCATAAAGTGTTAGCTTTTAAAAATGTTAAAAATAGCAATAAGAGGCCCAGAGAGATAGAAAAGGAGGTTAGGGACTTGTCTTCCAAACAACTGACCCTGTTTCATTATAAATACTACACGTGGTCCTCCTGAATACTACCAGAAATGATTCCTTAGTACAGAGTCAGGATTCATCCCTGAGCACTACTAGGTGTGCTTCTGCCAAAATACAATACACTTGTTATTTGAATGAGATTATATTTGTTCTGATTACCGTTAAATAAGAAAATTGGGGTTATTACTAATTCCAGACTACTGAGATGCCCTTATAAAAAGCTGCTTTTGTGTGTGTGTGTGTGTATAAGTGTAACATAACCGAAAACAAAACTCAAAAGCAGACATTATTATTTTCCTTCCTCATTGAGAGATGATTGCATTATGTTGAAAAGTTGCTAGGTGACCTATAAAGTTATTTCATATTTTGTTGTTTTGTAATTATATAATTTTAGATTATCAAAATAAACTGGATTTCTAATATACTGAGAACAATTCTTGAAGCCAGGTTCATCTAAGCAGCTTCTACAATCTACAACTTTTCATCTTGTATTTTAACTCACAACGTAATTAGCATCTTTAATGTTTCTGCCTATCTTTTATTGCTAAAGACCCTGAGGAATCTAGAAAAATGGGAATAAACAGCTGTACATTATTCTTGGAAAGAGATCATAAAACTTTGAATCATGTCAATGATATCACAATAATTATACCAATAATATGTGTAGCACATTTTTATTTTTAATATATCTTTACTTTAAAAATATATTACAGTGGTATTACTTTATTGAGAGTACTAACTTAACATATTAATTGTTCCTGAATCCATTTTTACCTTTTATCTTTGCATAATAAAGTATTAATATATGCTCTCAAAGGGCCTAAAATCCTCCCACACTTTCTTCGGTGAGAATAGATGAAAAAGACTCCTAATTTGCTTTGAAGCTAATTTTGAACCCTATATTCTAAAACAAACTGTTAAGATATTTTGAATTTTTTCCAGGTTATGCTTTGGGTATTTTGCAAAGTAACAATTGAAAGTTCAAAATTAAAACATTTGGGGAGGGAAAATGATCAGCAGTTTGACTTTAGTAAAACTTTGTAGAATCACAACTAGTAGTTTTAAGATGCTTAATGTTATCACTTATTTTTGTAAAAAATAACAATAAGTGATTGTATTAAAGTGGTTTTTAAAAATTCTATTGTTTACACCATAAAATATATATACATACTACTTAAGTTTCTAGTACGTTGCACAATATGGTTGTCATCAATTTATTTTGAACACTTGCTCTATGTGATTGCTCCTGCATTGAGTTAAAAAAACAGAAATGATAATATATAAGCAATAATATCATGTAAAAAGGCCTGGGTTCAAAAGAAAGCACAGAACTTTGATTAAACCAAAAAGACAAACAAGTTAGTAGCATAAAATGGGGTTTACAGGCAGATGGTAGAATGAGACTTGTGTGATAAGGAGAAACAAGATTACAAAAATGTATCAAACTATGCATCCTAGATATTGAAGAGTTTTCATCACTGGTATGGTGTAATTTTTATGTTATAAATATCACTGTTCAGTAGGAGAGATAATACAATAGATAAAGTGCTTTCCAGAAGTGATTCCTGAGCACAGAGTCAGGAATAAGTCCTGAGCACACGCTGTTGTGTTTCAAAAAACAACAAACACAAAAGAAATATGGTTTTAATTTTATAGAATTTAGAGTCATCCCTGAGAACAGCGAGGTTCATTTTTAAAACAAAACAAAAGGGAATCTTTGAAACAAGTATATGCACTATGATTCATATTTTCAGATGAGAAACTCGGGCTTCGTTTAAGAGAGATTGCACCCAGGTAGGTATACAGCACATCAAAGTTCATTCAGGATTTTTCTGAAGCTGTTTTTTATTAATATGAAAACTTAATAAAATAGTTTTAGATTTTTCAGAAAATGTCAAAAACAACACCAATCTTTCATATATTAAAATATATACGCAGTAACAACAAAGTCTCCATTGGAGACGTTACTGGGCCCGCTCGAGCAAATATACGCATATATAGATAAAAATCTATTGAGTTCATTATATTTGTTTCCATTTATTAAACCAATTTTGATAGATTATTGCCTATTAGAGTCTATATTTTAGTCATAGTTCACAGTTTTTAAGTAATTGGTTATTTTACATTTTTTATGTTTCAGTATACTATCTAGAGAATTTTCAAAGTAAATAAAAGCTGTGTCATTTTTTTTAAGTTATATTGATAAAAAACAGTTAATTTATATGTAGGACCCATTGAAAAGGGGGTGGGGGGAATCTCAATATATAGAATAGGGGCACTGTGATTGGGTGTGGTTAAATAGATTTTAACAGAATCCTTATTGAGACCAGGTCAGGTTGTTGAGAACTTGCTTGGGGGATAATCAAGGATGAAGAATTTGATCTGATATTTCAAGGACATGAGAAGGGTAAGAAGAAGAATCGAAATAATTCAGCAAAATTCTCACTGTAACGGAGCAATGTAAACTTGATAATGACAATGCCAAGGTCAAATCCCAGATAACTTGGAAAAAAGGCCTAACCAGACAGTTAGGTCAAAGAAACTATTGTGTCCTCTTAGATTTATCTTGTCCTTATAATTTTTCTTATTACTGTGACTGTTTTTCCGAGTATAATCTCTCAAAATAGGTTTATGTGATGAGTTTCTTATGAGATGTGGAACACAGATATTTGTAAAGTGTCATTTTCATCATAGAATGATGAGGGTGTAAAAGATCAGTGTGACTTTTCATCATCAATGTTGACTTTTAACATTTGGGTTAGGTAGTAATTGTGAGGTTTATGCATTATTAAAGTTTTATTTTGTGTTTTTGTGGTTTGTTTTGTTTTTGCTTTTTCACTTTGTAATTATTGAATGTCTTTAGAACAGTCTATAGATATCTCTATGAAATTTGCATGTCTAAAATATTTTTAATTTATTACAGTGTATTTTATGATAAAGAATTTAACCTATCTTTTATTCTTGCTTAAGTGATGAGAAAATATTCCCCAGCTTGTTGTTAGAAGATCCTGTAATTATTAGTTAGATAAAGTTGATAGATATGATATGTAGGTCACCTATGCCTACGCAGATTATTTATTGTGTAATTCAAAAATTACTAACAGAAGAGTTTTAAAGTCTTCAATTTTACAAGGGGATTTATTATTTAATCTTTCAGTATTAATATGGTTTGACCTTTAAGCATACATATGTTCAAAATTGCTTTGTTTTTGTTTAGAGACATGATTCCACAATTACTATGTGCTTTTTATCTAAGTATAAGTGTGGATTACTCAGGTCTAAAATATGCTTTGTTTAAAATTGGTAGTGACACCCGCTTTACTTAAATTTGTACTAGAATGGTATATATATTTCTCCATCCCATGTTACTGAATAGCACTGTAGCACTGTAGCACTCTCCTCCGTTGTTCATCGATTTGCTCGAGCAGGCACCAGTAACATCTCCACTGTGAGAATTCTTGTTACTGTTTTTGACATATCAAATATGCCACAGGGAGCTGGCAAAGGCTCTGCTGTGCCGATGGGATACTCTCGGTAGCTTGCTGGGGTCTCCGATAGGGGTGAAGGAATCAAACCTGGGTTGGCCATGTGAAAGGCAAATGCCTTACCCACTGTGCTTTGGAAGCACATATATTAAAATTGAAATGATACAGAGAAGATTAGCATAGCCTCTACGCAAGGATGACACACAAATTTGTGAAGCGTTACTGAATAAATTTCTTTAAATGTGAAGCCTTCTAGAATATAAATATATGGACTTTGGTTTTATTTGTTTATACATTTATTTTTGTAACTATATTTACTGTTAATAATATCATAATGCTACAAGTTAGACTAAAACAAAACATAAAGTTACTTACACTTCTAATTAGCTCATAATTTTGATTATAATAAGAATCACATTAGAAAAGCTTATTTACTTAGAAAATTTTGATAATGGTCAGCCCATATATCAACATGCATGGGCTACAAATGAACAATATTCAACTCATTTCAATAAATGCATTATCTTTATAAACTAGCATTTTATTTTAGTGATTAAGTCCAAGAGATTTTTTTACTTTGCCTCTACATTGATATCTTTATCTTTGGAGACTGGAGCAAGACTGGATCCCAGAACACAGAGACAGAAATGAGCCCTTCCACTTCCTTAGCTAGGATTGAATTCTTTACATTATTACAAGACTGGAGAAAGTTGGGTGTTTGCTTTGCATGCAGCTGATTCTGGTTCTATTCCTAGCATCCCATTCTGGTTGTCCTAGCTTGCCAGGTGTGATCCCTAATCACAGAGGCACACTGTCATCCCTGAGAACTGCTGGGTATGACTTCAAAGTAATAATAATAATAATATCTTTATGCTTTTAATAAGTATACTTATTTATACATTTTATTGTATAAGCCATATTTTATACTACAGTCAATGATAGATTTTTGTTTGCACAATATTCCCACACCATGCACAACACCACAGTATCCTTCCACTTCAATACACCTGTCCCTTCCTGTTGCTCTACCATGGTGAACTCAATTCTGTAGACTGATTTTCAGCTTCTGTTGACTTTGGGTATATGTTTACATTTGTGTATTTTGAGCATTTAGTTTGGAGATGGAAAGCAGTGGGTCACACCTATCAGTGTTCAGGGCTCATTTCTGTCTCGGTGTTCTGGGATCACTCCTTGTGGTGCTCAGGACGAGTATATGTGTTGCTAGGGATTAAACCAGGGTCTTTTTCATGCAGAAATAAGAACATTATTTCTATTTTAACTGTCAGCCCTTGAGCATTCCATGTATAATGATTACTGATGTGATTGGATTCATGCCTCCTATATTTGTATGACTTTTCTGTTTAATGCATTTGTTCTTATTCCTTTTCTCTTTGATTTTTCCACTTCCTTAGCTAGGATTGAATTCTTTACATTATTCTAATTTCTAATTTTCTTAGTTTAGTAAGAAAATATTATACTTATGTGTGAAGGGGCTTATACAACTGTACTCAGGGATTACTCCTTGCTCTACACTCAAAATTTATTCTTGCCTGGGCTCAGAGAACCATATGAAATGCAGAGATTGACCTCAGGTTGGTCATATGCATGGTAAGTATCTATGTGCTATATGCTTTCTCTGCCCCTATTCATTTTTAAAATACAGTTCTTAGGATTTGTAATACAAATTTTGAAGAGCATAAAATCACCTTTAAGTTTCCAGATAGAGTGGTCAATGTGTTGGAGCACATGCTCTGAGTACAAGAATATTTGGTTCAACTGATTGCCACATGTCGCTTCAGCACTGCCAGAAACTATGTGTGCCTCCTATATCCCCACTGTTACACACACACACAAACACACATATACACACAAACGAGCACAAACACACACACCAAAAATATATGACATTTTAAAACAGCAGAATTATCCTAATTCCTGCTGATGAAGGATTATTGTCAATGATTCTTCTTATTTTTAAACTTTATTTATTCTGTGCAGTTTCTATTATTTTCAACAATCATCTTCAGATCAAATATGAAAGTATTTTAGTTAGACACCATTTATGCCTTCATCAGTAAGACATACTTTATGTAAGCAAGTTTCTAATAGCATTTCCTTCAATCTCAACAAGTTTTAACATTCCTTTAGAACTCTGTGATAATAATAAATTATCTCAGGTTTTGTTTTCTAATAATATTGTATTTTAAAAGTATAAAAGTCCAGTACCATGCTGTTTTTATTATTACTGCTTTGTAGTAGAGTTTGAGGTTGGGGAGGGCAATTCCTCCCCACGTCTTTTTCCCAAGAATTGCTTTAGCTGTACTATTCAGAATAGCCAAAATCTGAAAAAAAACCCAAGTGCCTGAGAACAGATGACTGGTTAAAGAAATTTTGGTACATCTACACAATGGAGTACCATGCAGCTGTTACAAAAGCTGAAGTCATGAAATTTAAATACAAGTGGTACTACATGGAAAGTATCATGCTGAGTGAAATGAGTCAGAAAGAGAGGGACAGACATAGAAAGATTGCGTTCATCTGGGGAATGTAAAGTAACAATTTGGGAAACTAACACCCAAGAATAGCCAAGATAAGTACCAGGAGTTTCACTCCATGGCTTGGAGGCCAGCCACACATGCTGGGGGAGAAGGAAGCTCAGATAGAGAAGGGAGTACCAAATAAAGGGTGTTGGGAGGATCCTCCCAGGATGAGAGATGCATGTTGAAAATAAACTATAGGCCAAAATTGATTGCCACTCAATGCCTCTTTGGTAAACCACAGGACCCAGAAGGAGAGAGAAAACAAAAGGGAATGCCCTGCAACAGGGGTGGGGTATAATGGGGAGTAGGGGGTGGGAGGGATTCCGGGAGTATTGGAGGTGGGGAATAAGCACTGGTGGAGGGATGGGTATTCAATCATTGTATAACTGAAACCCAAGCACAATAATCTGTAAGTCTACAACTGTACCTCGTGGTGTTTCACTAATAATAAAAAAATGAATACATAAATATAACTATAAAAGTCAAATTTTACAGTTGCTAAATAATTTAATGTAGAATTTTTATTGATATTTTATTTCAATACTTTAAATATTTCACCCTACTGATCTGCCCAAGTGGTTTCCAACAAAATGTTCACTATAATTCTCGTCCTTCTTTTTTGTAATAGGTATTTTTGTCTAAGGTCTTATTTTTGCTTTTATGTAATACAAATATAATTGGTCTAAGTTTTTGGTTTAGTTTTTGATGGATATTTAGATTCTTATTTTGCTTACTACTTCCTGAGCTTCAGGAATCTGTGGTTCTGCTTTTGCCATTAGTGCTGAAATACTTTCAGGCGCTATTACTTATTTATCTATTCATTTTTTTCCTTTTCTGCCTGATATTCTAATTATTCTTAATCACAACATTATACTTTTTAATTTGTATCTAGTGATTTATATGTCCAATTGTTTTTATTTGAGAGTTTTCAGTTGTTTTTTCTCTTTTTATTTCTGGTAGATTTTTAATCTTATTTTTTGTTCGTCCGTTTTTCTTTGTAATTTTCACAGTGGTCTTCCAGTGATAAAAACCTCATTCCATGCTCCAAACTACCAATAATTTCCCTGAGTTTAGATTTTACAATCTAAATACTCTAAGGCATGTTCAGTTGAGATTGTTTTGGTGTTTCTGTTTGTCTTCATATCAAAGATCCATGATAGAGATGATTGTGTGGGACCACATGCTGTTCCAGTGTGATGAAACTCTAATAAAATATTTTCCAAGGCAGGATATATGTTTTTTTTAATTGATTTACCATAGATTTGCAGTACTATGTAGGTACCAAGAATATGGCTGTGTATCTTGAATTGCATTTACACTATGTTGTACTCCCTTACTGTACTCACATCCATCAAATGAGCTCTCTCTCTCTCTATTTCACCAAAATTCTTCCTGCTTCCTATCTGGTAAATACCTTACCTGATGAGCCAAAGAGTTATATCTATAGCACAGCGGGTAGGGCATTCGCCTTCCAAGCGGCCACCATGGCGGACCCGAGTTCGATTCCTCCACCCCTCTCGGAAAGCCCGGCAAGCTACCGAGAGTATTTGATATGCCAAACACAGTAACAACAAAGTCTCCAATGGAGACGTTACTGGGCCCACTCGAGCAAATCGACGATCAACGGGAGGGCCTTATTTATTTATAATTATGAATGAAATCTGCTGGTGTTTGTAATTTATACTTACATTGCTTAACACAATTACCTTAAATTCCATCAATGCCATTTCAAAAGGCAAGATCTCACCTTTCTAAATACCCAAAACGTGGATTCTATAGAGAAATGTTTGAATATATTCCACTGTAATTACTCATCCTTTTCTCTTTCCTTCTGTCAAATAATAAGGTGGTCTTAGCTAATTTTTCTGCCATTAAAATTTGTTAGATTCTAAAAACAATTATTAAAAGTTTGACATCCTTGAGACAAGGAGCCCATGCCTTGAATGCTCAAGGCCCTGCATTTGATCCAGCACCACACACCTCTCCAAACATATCTGAACACAGCCATGGCGGGGCCCCCGGACACTGTTATATGTGGCAATGGGAACTCCTAGCACTGCTTTGAGCAGTACAAGTCAGTCATCCCGAATACTGAAACTTTGACCTTATTCACCGGCTGAGCATTTCTGAGTACTGCTGAGGAGATCCCACCCAAAAAGTTGGGATCACAACTATATGTGCTTCCAAAGAGGTTCTCTGTGTTATGCTGGTCTACATTTGTCCTTTAGTCTTATAAAAATACAGGTTTTATTTTTTCTTCCAGATGATTTCTACTTTAACTTTAGTTCCAGTTAATCAGAATGTGTCTTTCCATATTTTGGACTTGACATTTTTTCCTGTAACCTCAAATGCCTTGGGTCTAAAATAGTCATTGTGTTTTTCATCTTGTCCATATTTTTCATCGACATATGAAATTGATATATTCCAAACTCTTAGCAAATTAGTGATGAAATCTAAAACCCAGTTAATTTTTTGATTGTCTCAACCCTGTTTGGCCAATCACAAACAAAACTTGAAACAGAAATTAAGAATTAAAGTTCTGGCCCAGATGGGTTTACAAGTGAGTTTTATCAAACCTTCAGAGAAGACTTTCTGACCTTGATCATTTTCCCAAAATATCAAAGAAACAGAAATCCTTTCTAACACCTCCTATGGAGCTAACATTACACCAATACCCAAAGATTATAGAGA